GCCGTTATTACATATAACAAGCAACCAAGTAGACATTTTCCTTTTCACTTTCCTCCCCTAATAATACAAGAGAATGACCATGAAACATAAGTATCAACAAAACAAAAGATGACCAAGATTACAGCAGAAAGCGATCAATATGAAATCCCAGGAGTCAGAGAGAAGTTTCAGGGAAGCCACTGAGGGAAGACGAGAACGGAACTGCGCCATTCGTCTTCGCCGCCGCCGCCGCCACGGCCGAATTTCGCGGCAACAGGTCCACCGGTGACTAGACCAGGCTTCGCTAAAAGGATTTTAGGAGAAGGGAGGGATCCGAGGAGCCTGCCATGGAGATTTTCGTTGATTCTCTTCTGCTACGTACAAAAATCTTCTATCCTCTCCTTACCCAATTGCAATTTGCTTGCATGAGTAGTTTTGAAATGCAACTTTTTTATTGTTTTTATTATTAAAAAATTTAAAAAAATGTGGGAACATAGTAAAAAATATGCGTATGTGACTTATAGTAAAAAAAAAAACAAACAAACTATAATGGACAATAGATGTACGACCTAGAATTTGAAAAAAAAAAAAAAAAATTATTGAGAAGTTTTATATAAAAATTTCAAATATCTTAAAGTTCTATAAAATGTATAAATTTTTGTCAAGTCCCAAATTTTATACAATTATAAATTGATAAAAAAAAATTTTTTTATCAAGTTGTTATTTTCTTTTGTCAAATTATAATTATATAAAATTTAAGACTTTGAATTATTTTATGTATTTTATAAAATTTTTTAATAATTAAAATTTTTATAAGGGATTTTGGAGTAATTTAAAAAAAAATAAGTGGGAGATTTTAATCAATCAATCAAGTTATAAATTTCATCAATATAATATGATCATGATCAATATAAATAAATCTAGAAAAAGCATAGGGCCAAAATTGTCAAAGTGGAATCATCATTTCCTGTGCTTCAATAGACAAACATTTGACATTAGGAGCGACTATTAACATGGATACTAGGGTTAGTGCAAAGTATATCAACAAAACATGATGCACCATCTTAAGAGATTGATGAATAACACTGACCATTTATATTGATATCTGGTTCTTCACGTAACACAAAGGGCAATACACTGCTATGTATAAAGTGTGCCAGAATAGGTGTACCGCGCAATCGTAAAGCAATACACACAGCCCTAGGAATAATCTAGAATAAAGAAAAGGATAGGAACAACTGAGCAATCTGCACAAAAATACATAAATGGACCCAATAAGATTAGGCTGGGGCAACAGATATGTCAATGGGCTTTTACGTTAATAATCCCCCTTCAAACTAAGGGGGAGAGGAAGAACAATGAGGCTTGAACATAAAGTATCAAATCTTGGAGCAAGCAATGGCTTAGTCAAAACATTAGCTAATTGATCTTTGGAAGACAAAAATGTGATGTTGAGAATTTTTGCAGCAACACTTTCTCTAACAAAATAATAATCCAACTCAATATGTTCAGTTTTAGCATGCATAATAGGATTAACTAACAAATAAGTAGTACCAATGTCATCACAGCAAAGTGTGAGAGTAGAAAACAAAAATATGCCCAACTCTTTCAATAAAGATTGAAGCCAAATTAATTCACAAGTGGCCAAAGCTAAAGAGCGATATTCTGCTTCAATGGAGAATCTAACAACAATATGTTGTTTCTGGGAGCACCTAGAAATTAAATTAGTTCCAAAGAAAACACAAAAACCACCCATAGACCTTCTATCTTCAAGAAACCCAGCCCAATCAACATCAAAGATAGCTATAAATAAGGATGAGGGTGACATGCAAATTAAAAGAACTTACTCGCTTGATTTAATAACTTTATATTTATTGTAGGGTATTTGATAAAGGTAAATATAGAAAGATAAGATTAGTTTGAAAATAAGTAACTACTTTATTGGAGGGTGAGATTTAATTAAAAATGCCTTACATTTTTTAACATCCAACTCCTCAAAAAATACCTTACATTTTTTAATGGAGGGAGTAATTAGCAACTTGCATATGTTTTATGAATGTGAAGGCTTGACAAGGAAAATGGTATTTTATTATGTTTCAAGAAATGTGCAAAGAAACTTAACCTAAAGAAGGTTAAGTATTTTGCTTGCCAAAAGAATGGGCACTTTGCTATGGACTGAAACATAATTCTTCACACCTTGCATATGTTTCAAGTACCAACTTCATAGTTGAAATAAACACTGTGTGGATTATAGACTTAGGAACAACAAAACCACATAAGTTGAAATCTTGGATGCTTCACAATTTTTCGTCAATTACCAATAAGAAGCAAGTGGCTTCATAGTGGGAACAATGCTAGAGTCAAAGTTATAGGGATTAACACCTGTAAATTAGTGTTGCAAGGTGGGCAATCCTTAATGCTACATGGCGTACTTTATGCGTTGGAATTTTGATGAAATCTTATGTATGCTATTTCCTTAATTAAGTATCAAATTAATGTCATTTTTCAATATTTTGTTATTGACATTGTTGCTAGGATAGAATTTATCATCTAAATCTCCTTTGCAATTAATACACTTTGACATTTGTAAACCTATGAGTGTAAGGGCTTGACATGGAGCATAGTATTTATTACCATTATTGTTAATTTCCCATGATATGGTCATATTTTCCTGATTTCTTACAATATGAGGCACTAGAGTACTTTAGAAAATACCTTAACATGTAGGGAATTGAATCAATTAAGTTATAAGGTCAAAACTTTACGAACTGATTAAGGTAGAGAACATCTATCATAACAATTTATGAAAAGAATAGAATAGTAAGACAACTTACCATCCCAAGCATTTCTCAATAAAATGGAGTCATTGAAAGGAGAAACAGAATTTTCCTTAATATGGTTAGGTTTACGATGGCACAAGCAAACTAACTGATCTCATATTAGGGGGATGCATTAATGATGACTATTTTCATACTTAACCAGGTACCCTTCAATTTAGTCACAAATACACCTTATGCGTTATGGACAGGCTACAAATTAGACTTAACCATCTTAAGACCATGGGAGTCAGCAGCCTATCTCCATAATTCTTCTCATAAACACGGGAAGTTAGGCCCTAAAGGGAAGAAGTTTAACTTCATAAGAAACTCTGAAACACTTAAAAGGTTACATCTTCATTAGTGAAAATGATGATGACTCAGAAGGTTACACTCAAGGGATACGATGTTCTTAGAAACCAAATTTGTAAGGCCTCCTTCCAGCATTACAGTGCAACACTCAATTCCAATACATATACATAAATGTTTAAAATTGAATATCATAAATGGTTAAGATCCTAAAATAAAATCTTTTGAAAATCATCTAACATTGTTTTAAAATACTTATTTATGCCCAGCATAAGTATACAAATTGCATATGTAACATACAAGGAGAAAACAGAAGCAAAACAGTAATTTTAAGCTAAGCTGGACCATACACCATAGTATGTGACACATGCGCCACAACATGTGCATCATGTCCTGCAGTACATGTATTAGATTTTATTGTCAAGACAACACATCTGGTATGAACTTCTAACGTATGCCATTTTCGAATACAATGTTCAATTGAAATGAATCAAATGCCCACACGAAGCTTATTTTAAAACCTAACTAATGATATTAGTTTTTACATCAATTCGATATTCCATTTAAAAATTAAATACCTGAATGCAAAGTGACCATTTTAAGTCATTTTCATCCACCTAAGCACCCCAAAATGAAGATGAATGTCATTAGTTACTTTTAAAGCCTTAACCACATCGAATAAGACATTTCACACTTGATTGAATAGATAAATCAATACAATCACATACACACGCAAGTTTAGTCATCAAATCGCCCTTCAACGTGCACACTAGGGTTATTTTTCATATTTACACACTTTTATACACGTTTGGACAAACTACACACATTTTCACATCAAACACACCAACATGTACTTAAAATAGTATCTTATCCCTTATTTACAAAATTCACCACATATCACACATTTACATACTATAGGGCTAAGTTACAAATATAATCACACAAGTTTATGATCACATTTATATGCATATGCAATCCTATAGCAACTTATATACAACATATCATTTACAACAGTCTTGTTCATTACACTAATTTCGATAGGCTATCAATAGGTCCACTACTCTCAATCCAATTCTTTCCCTCTATCACTTCCAATGTCATAAGCTATAAAATGATAACCACGAGTGAGATAAACATCTCAGTAACTAAGATAATTCACTGATATCCATTAACAGGAGTAACTATGAACAAGTAAACATAATCATTTACTTCATTTTCACAATCAATATACTCATATATATATATATATATATCAAACCAATTTCACAAAAGTATTTTTACACACTTACATGATCAATTATACATTAAACCTCCATACTTCGCGACTAAACCCATACTACTGCACTAATCCTATACTCGTTAATCCAAGCACACCTTCAGTGGTAGAAATATCAGCCAAGGTATTTTATCACACTTCTGGACTATAGATTCCTCCTTTCACAAACACAATATGGGTGTCATTGATGTCGGACAGGAAGGTGTAATGGAAGATTAAAATTTTAAATTCCTTTCCTGATATGGACCGAACAACTCATTTAAGTCAAAGTGGATAGAACAATTACCTTTTTCTTTTTTTGCTTCACGTGTTGTCTTCAAGAAATTGGATCTCAGGATCTAACAATGTAAAACTACTTTTTCTCCAACTCAAATGGCGTGCTAGTGCTTGAAAATGTTTGTCCGTTTTCTCAAAACATTGAACTACTTTTTCTTTAGGGTGTTTCATGGCTCTCAATGTGTTTTGTCGTCAGGACTTTTTTTACTCTCATACATCCATCAAGCACGTCCCTATCTATATATAATATATAAATTAAAGTTTTTACCTTCCACTTGAAGAGCCCACGAAAAATTAAATTTAAAACTAATATAACATAACATAACATAATATAATATAATATATCTATCACATATATAAATATATATATTCATATATAAATATATATTCATATATAAATATATATATATATATATAATATAATATGTATATGTAGACATACAAACTGTAACTATGTTAATAAAAGCAACATTTTTAGGAAATGTACAAAATTGGTGGAGAAGTAAATCACAAGAATTTAGAGAAGATTTTAGAAAATCAAAACAAAATAATGGAAATAGAAAAGAATATTATGCAATGATTATAGAAAAATATCAAAAAGCTTTAAGAAATGAATTTGTAGGAATAATACAAAATATAAATGAAATAACCAAAC